GCCTTTGCTACACCAGTTCACGCTGTACCGTTTAATGACCCCTGGGCAATTTTTTCATGTTGCACATACGACGGCCTCGTCTCCCCAGATCTTCCCCTTCAGCCTCACAGGCCCTACCCTGGTACTGCATTGCTATGAAGGGGAAGAGACTGCGTACTGATTGCTCTGAATGTGAAAAATAGAGACAGTTTTTGACTGTCAGAGCAATAAAAATATTATCTACTTATGATTAAATATGGTGTGCACGATCATTTCTATTAAAAGGCCTTCCTTGGAGGCCTCTATGATAAAATTGATTCTCCTGAGAAAATCAGATTCAATGTTTTAGTAGGAGTGTTTTTTTTTCAAGATTGTGACTAACATGAATTCAAGAAGAGTCTGTCTAACAATAATGCTTCACATCTAAAACATCTAGTGCACCATTTTTTTTGCAAATAAGTATAAAAATGGTTGCTATATTGGTAGAAAAAGATTCCAATTCTATGAGTTAATATGCAACCTAGGTAAGGGAATTCCCTGGCGGTCCAGTGGTTAAGACCCTGCGCTTTCACTGCTGAGGGCCTGGGTTCAACCCCTGGTCAGGGAGCTAAGATCCCGCAAGCCGTGTGGTACAGCCAAAAAAAAAAAAAAACAAACAAAGCAACACACTTAGGGAAGCTATTTCCTTCTCTAATAAACAACCCAAACAGCAAGGTGAAAGTTTAGAAACACAGTCTGGGCCTATCTTTATTACCTAAATTATTGCATAGAATTATCAGCCTTTCAAAGAAGTCAGCAGTCAAAAAATAACATTAATCTAAGTTACTATGCTGTGACTTTGCTATAAATAGGCTTCAGCACTGTGGGGCACTTTTGAAAGTGAGAAGATTTAGGAATATAATAATGTCTATTACAGTTCCTTAAATACACTGATTTAGAGCACATTAGGGCAATAAACAGTATTAGTATTTTCCTGCCCATTGTGTACAGAAAACCAAATGTTCTTTTAGAAACGATTTCTAAACCTGCACCTTCAGCTAAGATAATTTTCCTCTATCAGTTCCCAGCCCCAAGGCTGCTGCAAATGATGCCTTTGAAAAACTTCTTCAAGACACTTCGCTACCCTCTGCCCGTCACTGTCTTAAGACACCCATCTACATACCACAACTGTGGACGTGAACAGCAGGGCACAGCCTGGACCACAACTGCTAACTGCTCTGCTTACAGGCTTGGAAAAACACATACCGTTTCTACCATTTCTATGTTCATCTATGGCAAGTGTCCACTCTGGCCTTTTCCTCAATGAGAATGAGAATAGCCTCTGCTGCACTGCTACCTCACCTTTGCTCACCCGCCTTCTGCTCATGCAAAGACACTGAATTGTAACAACGGCATTATACGCAACACTGTAAGTGACATGACAGCCACCTGTGCAAATATCCATGTTTCACAACTCGGTAAATTTCTAATAGGTTTACAGTAAAACTCATAAAACATCATCTTCTCACTGACATGGCGTGGACCGAGGCAGAGTGAGTAGGTTGTCACTGACAGTCACAAAGGAATTCATAAGCTCCACAAATGTTAAAAATCTCATCAAGGAATAATATTCATGCTTGAATAACCAAAATACAGAACAACCTTTACCTGTCTCAAAATAAAAACAAAACCATAAAATGCTGGCCTAAATGTCAACTGAGGAATTCAATAAAGCTCATGAAATCTGGAAGCCAACCTGCAGCGTACACCACCCTTCCTACTGGATGATATCACATGTCAAGGCAATTTCATGAGAATTAGTCAAAAATGTGAAAATGCTGTCCAAAGCGCTTTGATCCAAAACTAACTGTTCGGGGTGAATTGCCCGTCAAAATGAGTTGAAACTTTCAAGAGAATGGTCAGGTTACTTATTATACATAAGGATAACCAATTTCCAGGCTACCATGGTAAATGGAGAGAGTCATCTGTGAACTAGTTGTTTTATAAAACCAGACTGCTACTAACACCTCGTCCACATGACGCTTCAATCAAATCTCAGTGTTTCCTGGAGGAAAATACGTAAGAATCACTGATGTTAACCTTTCAGGTAGGACCAGCAGAGGGCCCTTCTTACGAAAACAATCTCAGGACTGTCCCTAAGGCAACATCTCCAAAGGAAACAAATAACTCGGACGCAGCAAAGGTCACCAGGCGCAACGTGAAGAAATAATCTATAAATAGCGCTGGCTTGTCATTCAGTCAGAAACACCATCCCTTCTTCACCCCATTACAGCCCTGACTCGCCGGCATTTGACAGACAGCCAGAGAAAGAGTAACGCATGACATCTTTGAAAATAATTAGACGTGGACAGCCAACGTATTCATCAAACAGGCCTGAACTGCAAGTCCTCTTTCTTGTAGAACAGCAGTTTTCTGAACACTGGGTTCCCGTTCCACGAGTTAGGACAAGCTGTCACTTGAAGCTGATGACGGCTGGTAGTCAGGAAAGATGGCCACAGGCTCCTGTGCCGTTCTGGGGACCTGGTCTATAGATTTCATTTGTACAACAGACCTTGTATCACGACGTCGCTAACCTCGGTTCTCTCTAAGATGCATAAACTTCAAATCACATTCCTTATACCATTATTTATACTAAAGAGTATCAAAAACTTACTCTTTACAATTATTAACCAAACTGTGGAAGGTTCAAATAACTGAACATTAAACAGACATCCTAATGCGTAACGAGTAAGCCTTTACAAAGAGTTTTTGACATTAATGAGTCAAGCGAATACATACTCTTTAATTGAAATTAGCAAGACATTAAGTTGTTTATAAAGTATGCTCTTAAGTATGTAGAACACATACATGTAAGGCTAGATAGGAAAAGACTAGACTATTAAAGGATGATTACCTTGGATGACGGACTTCAGAGGGTATTTTTCCTTACCTTTCCCTTTGAGCATTTATATAGCAATTATCATTGCTTTTTACATTGAAATTATATGTAATTTTAAAAACATGCCTATGCTTAAATATTAGCTGCCTCTACCCACCTCCAAGTTTGGAAATAGAGTCAGAGCCCCCAGAAAGAGAGCAAATAGTAGGTCCTGTGTTTGAAGGAAGAGTGTTCTATTCAACTCCTCTGGGAAACAGAATCCCTGAATGACCGGACTCATTCCCAGGGTCACACCAAGCCTCCCGGGCAGAGTTCGAGGATGGAAAACCACCCACCAGCCTACACTGCCAGAGTTTCCTCTGTTACAAAACGCAGGTAACATCTTGCCAAAAATGCAAAACCTCATTCTAATCATGTGAGTACATCACACAAAACCAAACTGAGGAACATCATAAAAAACACCTGCCTCTTCGAAAATATCAAAGTCCTGAAAGACAAGGAAAAACTGAAGAACTGCCAGAGACTGGAGGGGACTACAGAGCAATACAAAATAAATGCAAGGCGGGATCCTACAGAGGAGCTTGGAACAAAGTCGGTGAAATTCAAAGATCTGTAGATTAGCTCACAGTACTGCACCAAAGTGAATTTCCTGGTCTTATTCATTGTATTATGGTCACACAAGACGTTATAATTTTAGGAGAAGCTGGATGAGGGGGTATATGGGAACTCTACTATTTTTTGGCAATTTTTCTGTAGGTCTAAAATTAGTTCAAAATTAAAAGTTTAAAAAAGAAATGCAGGTAACGACCATACCTACCTCAAACGACAGTCATGAAATTAAATGATTTATATATAAATAAAGCTTTTCAAATGATGCCTGGCAGACAGAAAGCACTACCTACCAAAGCCTTAGCTACTGTTCTCTCATCATTTTAGTACCACTACAACTACGACTTCTGTTTACGACTACGACCGGGGCTACTACCATCCTGTAAGTACTGCTACTGCCAAGAGCAACAAACAAACAGGCAATGGCTCTTCCCTCCCTCAGGGGGCCATTCTCCAAGCAGAATAGCGCCTGCCGAGCTGATCTGGGAGGAGCACGAGAGTGGGGAGGCCTGGGAACCACGCCGGAGGCTTCTCCCATCGGAGACGCCACCTCGGGCCTCCTTCCTGCCACCCGGGCCCATCCTGCACCTCGGCAGACCGATACAGATGACCTCTCCCCGTCTCGCTTACGCTTTTTACAAAAATTTCTAAAACACATTCTTCACGTGTCCCTGACCCATTCTGATTGATTTATCAAGGATGTATCTTAATATTTTTATGAGAGAGTTAGGTTATAGAAGGCGGGGAATGGAGGGGCGCAGATTGCTATGCTGTGATAAATTTAGTCAATTTATTTACTCAGTAATTTTAAATAAAGATACTTAATCAGTTAAAATCTTTAAATCTTTAGTCAAAATAAACATACTTAATTGTGAAACACACACAACGAGGGGGAAAAAAATCACTCCCGAAACTCAGTGGTTCCAGGGACCCTCAGGAACCCGCACAGGGGCAGCGCGCTGGTGGCAGGGGAGCCCTGACCCTCTCTGGCCACAGCTTCTTGGAACTAGGTAACCGCTGCCCCGGCCCCACCAGACTGTGGCCTGAAGATCCGAAGAAAAGACATGGGCACGGCCGTCAAATGGTGCAAGCTCTAGGGACACAGGCCATAAACCAACAGTCAGCACCCAGGAGCCAAAGTCCCAGGGTGAACATCCCCAGGGGTGACCTAGTCCCTGGTTTCTGTTTCTAGTCCCACGTGGGCCCAGGGAACCCTCTCGGCCTCTCTTTAGACGTGTATGAGAGGCAGTTTTCATTCCCTCTGAACACACGAGTCCTCAACTAGCCGGGTACGTCCACGTAACACGTCACCAGCACGTCCTTTGTCCTTGCCCTTTGTTAAAGAGGTTGAATCAGTGTTTACAACATAGAAGAGTCCTTTCTTAAGATTTATATACCAACACCCCAAGGTGCTGCCTTGCTTTGTGTCAGCAGAACAGGAAATCCGACGAGAGAGGAATTCGGGAAAAGAACTCATTCTGCAAAAGGGTTTCAAGCTCCACGGAAACTCTACTCCAGAATGTCTATGCGATACCTGCTTCGTGGCAGAAACATGGATTCCTTGATGAACACGGAACCAGAGAGGAGGATGTACCAGCAGGTCCCAATATCATCAGGACTGAAAAGAAAAGATAATAACATCAGATGATTATCTCCAACAAAAAAAACAAAAATCATAACATACAAAGCACACAGTATCCATGTTACTCGTACAATCCTGAAGAATGATGACATGTCACAAAGCACACACCTAAAATACCATTCTTCAACTACTGGAATTAAAAATTATTTTTCACACCTAAATAAGCTAAAGATATTTATCAGCAAACTTAAATGTTTTAAACGTTCATTAGATCTATAGCACCTACCATTCCAAGTTTTGTGTTTTAGTTTCATTTTTTTGAGCTGAAAATACTTTCCCTTGCTTCACAAAACAAAAATACAAAGAGGCAAACAGGGGACCTGAGCTTTCCCACCCTTTCCCCCGTCTCCCAAGCCCCTGCATTTCTCCACCACACTCGCTGGCATCTTTCAGAACTTCCTCATGCACACACGGGGATGGACATACATTCTTACCCCTCCGCCCTCTCCTTTTTACAGAGAAGATGGCACGCGCTACAGAGCTCTTGCCTCTGTGCTAACGCAGAGATCTTTCCATCAGGAGACGGCCGTCTTGTTAGCTGTGCCTTATTTGACTTAAGCAAGCCCCCACTGCTGGTCATTTCAGTGGTTTCTCGTGTATGCAGTTATTTTAAAAGAACGTGAAAACTGTGATGAGTAAGCTTATAGCTCCAGGAGTAACCTTGACTAGAAAACTAGACCTGCAGCTGCTGAGTCAAAGGGCACAGACACTGTGACTCTGATAAATAGTGTCGCGGTGGTTAGTTAGTAACTTCTGTGCCTACCACCTTCCCACGGCCTTGCAAGTAGAGTCTGTCTATTTATTTAACAAATGTTTAACGATTTCAGGATGAAGTCTGTTCTAGGTGCTTAGGATACTTCAGGAAACAACAACAAAGATCCCCACCCTCGTGGAACTTGTATTCTGGTGGGACAGTCCCCATAATAGACAATAAATATAACAGATCAGTAAATTATAAATCCATGCTCTGGGAATAAGTTACCGTAGGGCAAGGAAGATAGGGGTGGGGTGTTATAATTTTAAACATATGGTGGACAAGTCTCGTTGAGAAGAGCAGATCTGAACAAAGGAAGCGAGTAGACAATGGCTCCCGAGGGACGAGGATTCTCGGCCAAGGGAAGGGGGATGCGTGCGGAGGCCACAGGCCAGGCAGCTGGGCAGGGTGGCCAGGGGTGCAGTTGAAGCGAGGGCTGAGGGGTGTTCCTTCCCTGAAGCTGTCTATCACACTTCGGGGTTTTTGCCAATCTGCTCGATGAAAACTGTATTTTAGTGTACTTTTTTTGGGCTGCGTTGGGTCTTCTTTGCTGCACCTGGGCTTTCACTAGTTGCGGTGCGCAGGCTTCTCATCGTGGTGGCTCCTCTTGTCACGGAGCACGGGGTCTAGGCGTGCGGGCTTCAGTAGTTGTGGCACGCAGGCTCAGTAGTTGTGGCTCACAGGCTCAGTAGTTGTGGCTCACAGGCCTAGTTGCTCCGCGGCATGTGGGATCTCCCCGGACCAGGGCTTGAACCCGTGGTCCCCTGCATTGGCAGGTGGATTCTTAACCACTGTGCCACCAGGGAAGCCCTCTTAGTGTTCTTTTATTTTTCTTCTTTATTGTAAAAGCAACTTTTTTCTTATGCTCATGAGGCCTACCTATTTCTTTTTCTGTGAAATCAGTTCATAACTTTTAACCAATTTTCTATAAATCATGAGACTTTTTCTTATCTAGAAGCACTTTATACAAATTAGCATTTTGAAGCCATGAGCTGTGACAACCTTTTCCCCAGTTCGCTGCTTCTGTTTGAACTTTATCCTGATTTTGCCATGTCTTACGTTGTTTTATTTTATAGAGGCAAGTTTATCAAATTTATTAGTCAGGATACAGGCTCAGCTACTATGAAAACAAAGCAGAAAGCCCGACACAGCAGTGGCTGAACAATGGAGGAGCCCATTTCTCTCACACGTGTAGTGACAGCCTGGTGTCGGGAACCCAGGCTCTCTCCCTGTGTGGCTCGCTCACCCCGGCCCGTGGCCTCCATCTCAGACTCTAAGGGGCAGGTCCTAACCCACACCTGTCCGCATTCTAACCACTAGCAGGAGGCACACAGCCTACCCCACCTCTTCTACGAGGACAGCCTGGAAGCTGCAGCCCAGCAAACCACATGTGCGTTGCCAGGCAGTCTTCCGCAACCTATGCCAAACCTTTTTACTCTCTTTTTTCCTTTTGGCACGTGGATTCCAGAAGTTGCCAAAGACCACCAAGTTGAATTTAAAATTCTGAATAATTAAGTTATTTAACACACTAATCAATATCACCTAATCACTTTAATTGCTATCTGCTTCCAGAGCAAATCAGCAGCAAGTCACTGCTTCCTCCCAAGCCCGTTCTTTACCAATTTCACAACTGCTTAGTCCTCAATAGCAAAGCCTCAAGAAAACATGAAGGAAAATATTGTCAAATAGACTTTAGTTCCAACGAAACCATCAAAGTAAAATGATTTCTCAAATGAAAATGCAAAGTACTTCAAAAAATAATTTATACCCCTTTCTCTCTAGTGCTTAGTCATGAGCTTTTACAATCAACAATCATTCACCTAGGACTTCCCTGGTGGTGCAGTGGTTAAGAATCCACCTGCCAATGCAGGGGACATGGGTTCGAGCCCTGATCCGGGAAGATCCCACATGCCGCGGAGCAACGAAGCCCGTGCGCCACAACTACTGAGCCCGCATGCCACAACTACTGAAGCCCGCGTGCCTAGAGCCCGTGCTTTGCAACAAGAGAAGCCACCACAATGAGAAGCCCGCACACCGCAATGAAGAGTAGCCCCTGCTCGCCACAACTAGAGGAAGCCCGCGCGCAGAAACAAAGACCCAACACAGCCAAAAATAAATAAATAAATTATAAATAAATAAATTTAAAACAATCATTTACCTAGCTTAGGGGAAAAAGTGTACTTGTCTTCCTTAACATAAGGTCACAGCATAATTATTCATTCTGATTTCTGTCAAGTAAAAGTGTCAGATGCAAAAATAGTTTAAATTTTTTTAACAATAAAACACTGAAATAAAAAGAAGAAAAAAGGAATTATCTTGTAAACTTTTAATCTACTGTTGCACTTACCACGTTCCCTTTATCACCAAAAGATTGGTCAAGAGAAATGAAATCTAGTAGGAAATCAAGGTTGATCGCCACTAACTAGGCACGTGAGCAGAGCTGTACAGAGGCTCAGTAAACACCAACAATGACCAGCCCGTAGTTGTTATCATGGTAAGAAGCACAATAAATGTCACCATGGTCCAGATGAACTGTGACGCAGAGAACATAACAAACATTCCCTGGCTTTTTAGTTATTCCACATCTGTCCTTTTTGAAAGTAAAATTACTATGGACAAAATGAACACAATGTTTGTAAACTCAGCTTTCCTGGAGCTGAACAGAAAACACGCGTGAAGTCAAAGGCAACCCATGTCCAAAATGGATAAAACACTTGTGACAGCAAACAGTCTGGCCCCCCGAATACCCACCGATTACCCTACCATTAGGGCTGACTCTTCGTATCAGGAGAGCCTTGGTAAAGATTTAAGGAACTGAAGAGAAGAAACTGGTCCCCCATCTCTGTCACTTACTATAATTTCATTTGCCTGTTTCTCTCCCTTTTCCAAAAAATTCAAATCTTAACTCCCAAGAGCTGTGTCTGCTGGTGGAGGCATCTGCAGAGAATGACCGTTCGAACGCTGACTGGATCTGGTGAGCGTTCACTACCTGCCATGCCAAATAAAATGGTCACGATGTCTTTATTAGTGCGGTGTCTCTTTTAAAGATTCATGTCTTGCAAAAGCAAACGAATTAGAACTAAGAATACAAAAACAGTGAGTCTCATTTTAAAGATGCTCTGGAAACAGCTGTAAGCTAGAGAAACACACCCCCTCACCTTTCACACCCACACCCCACAGGACTCAGGTTTGGTTTCTGTTCTGAAAATTCCTCGTTGTGAGATACCATCATAAAATCTGTTTAACTCAGTCTTAATCAGCCAGAAAAGTGTCCTGACCTCATCTGAAACCACTGTGCTACCTCATTTAGCCTGTTCTGTGCTTTCCCCTCTCATGTATAATTACACGTCAGGCAGGCAAGTGTTTCAGCATGAGGCACGACCCTTCCCTTCAAGGTCTGCAAATACGGCCCTTCTCACAGGGCACCTGTCACCTGTGGGGCTCTATAGGTGCCAAGCGACGACTGTTCGTTTTTTTAAAGAAAAGATGAAAAGGAAATTACCTAGCAGTAACAGCATCAAACTTGTCTACACTTAGAGGGGACGCAAAATGAATCCGAGATCTTGCCTGCAGACGCACTGGCGATGAAGCTGGCTAACACAAGACTGATTAGTATAATAATTATTATTGTTCATATTACCTAGGACTAATACTGAGACTTGATTCTGTCTAGTGGTCCTCAAGCTTTAACGTACACGAGTCCCCTGGAATGCGAAGTAAAAATGCATGTTCCCAGGCTCTACCCATCCCGCCAACACCCCAGTACCTGATCAAGGGTGGGAGAACCATCACGATGCCGTCTAAACAAACATTCCAGGGGATTCTTATGCGTGGGGGCTTGTCAAGTTGAAAAAGCATGAGAAAAACTGCCTAGAACTCAAGCCCCGACTGGAACAAATGGCAGGGGAAAAAAAACCCCCAAAACGACAACTCTGTCAACTGTCGATACAACGTTTCATTCGCTAATGGCACTTAAATTTTTCTCAAATAGTTGTTTTATGTTTTAAAACTATGAGCTAAGGAGCTCCATCAAGGGTTGTTGAAATGATAAAAGGTGAATCTTGGAATAACTCTAACTGACCATTTCCAAGTAACTTTAGTCCTGTATCACCAGTAACAGGTAGAGAAGAGAAGCCTAAAGATTAAAGGGGTACATCTAGCAAAACAGGACTTGCCAATCTCTCCCATCACCAGAATGACACTTAGAGGCGACCTGCCAGTG